AGTGGCACAAATATATGGGATAAATGATGCCTTCTTTTCCCAGTGAAAATATTATATTGACAAAGACAACCAAAACCTGTGATTGAGATTAACACTGCAAATTGCAGAAAATGGCAGTGTATAATGTCGTTAATGGCAGACAGATGTATACAGGTACAGGCTCAGCTTTCATTAAAAACAACCAAAGTAAACAAACCAAAGGAGCTAGGAAATTCTCAAAATGATAGACAGGCAAAAGTTCAGGTGATCAGCAAAGAGGTGAACAGGCAGGTAATCAGTAAACAAAACAGAGGACAAACCACCTCCATTAGACAGGAAAATGCTGGAGTGCAAGGAATGTCCGGTTTGAAGGAGTGAGTGATTGCAAACAAGGGAGTCTCTTTAGAAGTCTGGAGATTTGGACCATGGATATGTTTCCCTTTGTGTCCCTTTCCCTTTGTGTCATGTGAAGTGGAAACTGGCTGAGGATCTTAGAGGTTAGTGGCAGGTGCAGACATGGCAATTAATCAATAACAGCATGCTTCACATGCTGGAATGTATCATTCCATTTTAATAATATTATGTTGCCTACAATATCAAGTTTAATAATAGATTTAATAAATGCTGTATTCCGCAGGATGATTGGCTCAGTCCTGGACTTTGCATGGGTGATCCACTGGGTCACAGGGCTGGGTGTTCAGGATGATGTATGTGAAAGTCTCTGATGAGTGCTGGGTCTACAGCGTCCTGAGAAGAGCCCTTCCAGTCAGTTAGAGATAAGCATCCTCTGTGTTGTATCAAGAAATTGGAAGATTTCTTAGAACCTTCTGTGCCAACTGGCCAGAGGAGTGGGCAAGTTTTCTCCTGGGGGCCAAGTACACCCAAAATTTTATTTTGTCACTGTATATACCTGGAGGTGTTTCAGTGGGTGGTCGACCCAGTAATATGGGTTTGAGGAGACATGGATACTAGATGAGAGGTGATACTAAAAATAAAGTTTATATATGACTTTATTGATATGCTGAATGACTGTTCAGGTTCATAAGTGGGTGTTTTCAAGCGGTGTTTGTCTGCAAATTCCTGAAAGGTCTAAAAAATGTCACAGTTAGTTGTTTTGGACAGGTGTTCCCATACCTTTGGCCATATAGTGTATCTCAGGAATACTACTCAGGATACTTGGAACTCTTTGTTGGACCTTTCTGATGTCGTGGCTAGAGAGTCAGAGTATACTAGTTTGTCATTGTTTAGAGAGATAGCAAACTGGGCAAGCATATCTCTGAGAATGTCAATAACAAATGCCTGAACGGCAGAGGGGGTTTACGACCATGCCATACATTTGTAGTGTCTTCGTATTGGCTTGTATTCGTAGTGCCCTGAAGTGGTGTTTAAGGAAGTCAGACTTTTTTAAATCTGTTCAGTCTAGAACTGAATGTTCATCCTGTTACTCTACACCTCTGCAGTCCTTGCCATTCATTGACAGTATTGAAAGGTTGAGGCAAATAACAGAGTTCTATTCCTGTAAACACTAGACTCTTCTGTACACCTGAGAAGTGTAAAGCTTCTTGATCGGTCACTTTCATTTTTGGTAAATGAAAATAAGTTTGAAGAGAAATTCTGGTATAAAACAAGTTTTTATGTAATATGTTACCGCTACTATGAGGTTTGCATTTCTCAGCCAGTGCATTTTGGCAGAATTCACAATCTTTGTGTTTGCATCCATCAGTATTCTGTCACTACGATATCTCGCAATTATTGGCAGTACTTACCAAAAGCAACTAATGATTATGCCATAATGCTTATGAGTAAGAACCAATAGCCAGTTGGATCAAAGGAAGTGGGATTTCAAAGTTGGAATGGCACGGCCAATTATTTTGTTTTTGCTATACACTGAAGACACGGGGGTTGAGATCAAAAGCCGAACATGAGACGATAGATCAGAATTTCAGCTTTCATTTCCTGATATTTACATCTTGATGTGTTAAACAACTTAAAGAACATGGCGCCTTTTGTTTGAACCCACCCATTTTTCAAGTGATCAGAAATATTGGAACATGTGACTGACAGGTGTTTCTTGTTGCCCAGGTGTGCCCTGTTAGATTGGTTAAACAATTAATTGCTCTGAATGTCTACTATTGGTTTGAGCCCTGGGTTTGACTGCATTTGTTGTTAAAAAGGATAAACCAACATGAAGACCAGAGAGCTGTCTATGGGAGAAACACAAGCCATGCAGCTGAGAGAAGAGGTAAAATCGATCACAGCCATTGCACAAGCATTGGGCATAGCCAGTACAACAACTTGGAATGTCCTGAAAAAGAAAGAAACCACTGGTGTACAAACAACCAGACATCAAACAGGTCAGCCAAGGAAAACAACAGCAGCTGATGACAGAAACATTGTGGTAGCTGTGAAGGAAAGCCCAAAAACAGTCAGTGACATCACCAACATCCTCCACAGAGCACGGGTGAAGGTAATCCAATGTTCGAAGAAGACTTCAAGAGCAGAAATATAGAGGCCATAACACAAGATACAAACCACTCATCAGCTGTAAGAATACGAAGGCAAGATTGGAATTCACAGAGAAATACAGAGATGAGCCACAAAAGTTCTGGAACCAAGATTAACCTCTATCAAAATGATGGAAAAGACAAAGTGTGGAAAAAGAAAGGATCTGCTCATCATTCAAACATACGAGCTCATGGGTCCAGCAGGGTGGAAGCAGCATTATGGCTTGGGCTTGCATGGCTGCTTCCGGAACGGCTCACTAATCTTTACTCATGATGTAACTCATGATGGTAGCAGAAGAATGAATTCAGAAGTCTACAGAAACAGTGTCTGTGCCAATTTACAGAGAAATGCATCCAATGTAATTGGGAGGAGCTTGCAGTTCATGCAGAAAGACAATGACCCAGTACACTCTGCCAAAACAACAAAGGACTTCATCAGGGGGAAGAAAGTGGAAGGTTTTAGACTGACCAAGTCAATCACCAGACCTTAACCCAACTGAGCATGCATTTCACCTCCTGAAGAGGAGACTGAAGGGAGAAAACCCCAAAACGGACAACAACTGAAAGAAGCTGCTGTACAAGCCTGGAAAAGCATCACAAAAGAAGAATACAACAGTTTGGTGATGTCAGCGGGGCGCCGACTTGATACAGTTATTGCAAGCAAGGGATACGCGACCAAATATTAAGTATTATTTACCTTAATTTACTTTAAAGAATTTAAGAATATTCATCTTCTGATCTCAAACCAAGAAGAATATAACAGTTTGGTGGTGTCAGTGGGTCGCTGGCTTGAAGCAGTTATTGCAAATATTAAGTGTTTTACTTTAAGGCTATCTGTTCAAATACTTTTTCTCACCAAAAAATTGGGTGGCCTGCCACTAAAGGTGCCATGTACTAAGTTGTTGGATTAAAGGTTTGATTATCCTAACGGTTTGATTATCAAAAATTAAAGAAAACGATTTTCTTATGTACTGTCTGAAGAAGTAGGTCTTTATTCCTTTATGGAAAGAATGGAGACATGGAACAATTTGAAATGGAGGGGAAGCTCATTCCATGACTGAAGAGCCAGAACACTAAAGCGGCGAGATCTTACATTACGAGCTGGCTTAGATCTTGTAGAAGGATACGCCAATCGCCTTGAAGTTGTAGACCCGAGTTGCCATGCAGATGGGAGTGTTGGGGTGGAAACATGAAGAAAAAATAGCCTGCTTAGTGTTATCCTACCATTTACTCCGGCCCTAATCGGGTTTTGTTCTTTTTTATATATATATATATATATATATAATGTATGTATGTATATATATATGTATGTATATATATATATATATATATACACTGCCCTCCAAAAGTTTGGAAACGCCTGAACAAAATAGAGTTTTTGGGCAATATCAGCATAAATCCTCTTTAGTTAGTGACCATTTTGCATTGATAATAAGGGACAACACTAGGCATCCGAGCAGTCAGTTTATTCAAACATTGACTTGATATATTACTCCAAGCCTCCTGGAGG